ACTAACACAAGAACTTTGTCGCCTGGATTGAATGTTCGTTTACAAGAACTCTTATCATACAGTCCTTTCATTTTAACTTGGGCCTTTCTTAAGTTCTTGTGAGCCATTTCGCACACGGCTTTCAGTCGAACGTGAAAATCGTCGAAGTTTTCCACTGGATGATCACTGGTACCTGTCCAACGTTCGTGTATCAGCTTCAGGGGGCCACGGACAGAATGTCCAAACACAAGTTGAAAAGGCGAGTAGCCTAAAGAGTCGCGGCGAAAATAATCCAAGGAACAGACTCATCCCATTGGGTGTTACTGTTAGCGAATGTCCTTAGCATGGTTTTGAGGGTTTGGTGGAACCTCTCAAGTACGCCTTGAGACTGAGGGTGGTAGGCTGAGCTGGTGATGTGGGTAACGCCTAGCTTGGCTAGCGCTTCCTGAAAATGGTGACTGGTGAAGTTGCTGCCTTGATCTGTTTGCACGATTCTAGGTAATCCAAAGGTAGTGAAGAACCGGGTCATGGCTCTGACTACAGTCTTTGCCTTAATGTTCCGTAAGGGAATCGCCTCGGGAAAACGGGTACTTGAACACATAAAGGTAAGTAGGTACTCGTTGCCCGCCTTGGTTTTAAGCAAGGGACCTACACAGTCCATGACGATTTTTGAAAAAGGTTCTTCTAATACAGGAATCGGACTCAAAGGGGCCTTAGGAATTGTCTGGTTTGGCTTTCCGGCCAACTGACAGTTCGTGCAACTTCTACAGTAACGCGACACATCTTTTCTCGTTTTGGGCCAAAAGAACAGTTCTTTGATCTTCGCCGTCGTTTTAGTGACACCTGGGTGCGCTGACATTGGATGGTCATGTGCCAGCTTAAGTATTTCATGCCGATAAGGTGGAGGGATCCACAGCTGGTTTTTACCCAACCATGGTTCGGCTGGTGAGGCAATCACTGGTATAGCGCGACGAAAGAAGAGGCCGTTCTCGGAGAAATATTCTCCATCGTCAGATGATAGAGATTTTTCGACCGTTGCTTTGAGTTCCGCGTCGACTTGTTGAGCTTTAATGATGTCTTCCTGAGATATTCTCAGGGGTAAGCCCAGGCTTGTGTTTTCTGGAAGCATAGACTCCAGTTTGGGAGTCGAATTTCTTGACGATGATGGCGGGTGTGGTTCAGACGTGGTGTCAGCCAATGGTTTGGTCTGGCTTCTTGTCACCGCACATGCAGGATACAGTTCATAATCATTATCTGGAACTGTTGACAAAGGGTCTGAAACCGTACAGGGGTATACTTTGCTTCCCGCAAGGTCATTCCCTAGAAGTAGGTGTACTCCTGGGACAGGAATACTATCTATCACACCTAAAATGACCTCACCTTCGACGAGATGATGTTTCAGGGCAAACTTGTGTAGAGGGACGACCGTAGATTTTGTCCCCACTCCCTGGATAATGGAAATCCTTCCGGTGTTCGTCTCAGGTGTAATGTCCATTGAACTTTTCAAAAGGAGTGATTGTGACGCTCCTGTGTCTCTTAGGACGGTGATATTCTTCTGAGACAACGGATCACCTGGTTTGCTAATGATGGCTTCGGCAATAAAAGATGAAAAGTCAACTTTTCTCGATCTCTCGAGATCGGTAGACTCGGAAGAAACTGGATGGTGGCGAGAACAGTCAAAATGTGACTGCACATAATGTGTGGAGACTTGACTACCTTCTTGCGGACACTTAGGATTAGAGTCCTTTAGAATTCTAGAGTTCATAGTTGAACTGGCTGCTTGAGGGGATAGAGCATAGTGCGCAGAAGTACGCACCACCTCTCTGTTATATTGACGACGTTTGTAACAGTCCTTGACACGATGACCAGGCCTTTTGCAGAACTGGCATACCGCTCGACGATTGAGAGTTGATCTTGGTTTCTCTCTGGACTGTGATGTCTTCACGTGTTGGCCAACAGGATGATTGCTGCCAAAAAGGGGAAGCACGGGGTTGAGGCGGTTTCCTGACACTGGTGGTTTCTTATGCACCAACATATATGTGTCAGCCGACTCAGCAGCCTTCTGGATGTCAGTTATCTTGTTATCCAGGATGTGTAGTCGTATCTCTTCAGGCAGGGACGATAGGAATTCTTCCCTTAGGATAAGTGACCTGAGTTTCTCAAACTCAGAAACTTCCTCAGAGTGTAGCCACCTTGAGAATATTTTCTCCTTTTCAAAGAGAAATTCCACATATGATTGTGTGGGTAACTTGCGGAGTGTTCGGAATTTTGTCCGATAGGCCTCGGGCGTCAGTGCGTAGGCCTTTAAAATGGCAGTCTTGACCAAACTATAGTTATTTTGAACGTCGTGAGAGAGTGCCTGGTATGTTTTTGCAGCTTTCCCAGTAAGGACAGAGCTCAATAAAGCAGTAATGGAAGTTTCGGGCCATTCACATGTCTTCGCTAAACTCTCAAACGAGTTAAAGAACACGACCAAATCTGTTTCATCAAATTTAGGAACTAATTTCCCAAATTTGGCAATCACTTGCCCTACCGACAACTTTTTTGGATCTACCAGAGAAGTAACATCACTAACTTGACCAAACTCTAATTCCAACCTCCTCTTATCTAAAGCAATTTTAGCCTCTATCTCCTGTTTCTCTAAAGCAACTTTCTCCTTCTCTAGAGCAATTTTAGTTTCAAACTCCTTTTCTTTTAAAGCCTTCTCTAAAGCAACTTTCTCCTTCTCTAAAGCAATTCTAGCTTCTAATTCTACCTTCTCTAGAGTTTTCTCCTCGCGGAGCAACACACCAGCCAACAAACTTTCATCAAATACTCCTTCATTAATGAAATGAACAACAATTTTATCTCTCAACACCTCTGACTTCTGCGTAACAGAATAATCCAATTTCAATTCCTTAACTACACTAACCAAAACTTTTCTACTCAACTTTTCTACATCTTCAACAGTAGGATTAGCCAAAAAAGACTCCATAACACTAACTTGAAAATCACAACAAGCCTAGATTCTTTAAATTAATACACAGCGTTGGGCCGTGTACCTGACCTCTAAATGTAGGACGTGACACGTCTGCTTATTTGACCTAGATACTCTAGCCTGAGCGCGCGTTGTAAGAACACTGCGCTACTGGATATAAAAACAACTAAATCCAACTAACCTTAGTATTCAACTGATATAACCAACAACTGGAACGACAGATTAAATCTCGGCGAGCTCCCACTTTGTAACGTTAACCTATCTATCAGCCAAATAGAAGGAGAACGTCCCCGGATTCTTTTTTCGGGGTCATATGCAAATGCCTTACGGCCTAAGTGGATGAACACTTAACACAACGACCCACTAGGGCTCGAATTTAATGTCTAGGGGAGCTAGTGATACTATTGTAATTAACACTCATCCAATCTACATACGACCTTTTAATCAGCGGACTCAGAAGTGGCAGAACACAAGGTTGAACTAAATAAAATCTTTAATGTATAAAATATCAAAAACCCAACTTACACAATGTAGGAAAAAACACTATCACAGATTTCTACACTGTCTAAAAAACAGCTACAGGCCACACAACACTGCTGTAGCTTCAAGACTTACTTAGCGACAAGTAATATTAAACTAGAAGACTAAATCAACTGAAGAAAGCAAGGCACACACAGGTCTTAAGTACTCTCACGTTCAAATGGTCAGAGTCTATAGCCGGACAATATGGACGGTTGCCTGAACAAGGTAAAACGGCCCCGTAGACTGCCAGGTCAAGAAAAACTGCCTCGTATTGCGAGTGTGCAGTGCAATTAAAGACTTCTGTGACAGGGGAGGTTATCCTCAACTCATGTCGCCATTGGTTGGGATAATCATCTGATCAGAATCATTCAATCAGATTTTAATGGAAAATTTCTATGTCTCAAACACCTTAATAAGTCAGTGGAAAAACCCCAGGTGTTACACCATCATTCCATATAAGGAATTATACAATGTCAAAATAAAAATGACTCGACCTAAGTAGGTCACAGGCATCTCGTACTGAGGGAGGGGGGGAGGTTACCAGCAAAGAACGTCAACCATCCCCCCCCCCCGAATGAAATAGAGTTTATATATAGAAAATATAGTTTATTATAGTCCCCCCCCCCTTCCCGCACATTGAAAAACGTCAGAAAGAAACACTGCTCCGGTCTTTAAATGCCCACCGGCCCCGTCTGGTCTGTTACGTCACAGGATGTTCTAAGTGTCAACATATACAAAAGTGACCTATTAAACACCTAACCTTGACCTAATGACATTCTGATAACAAAACTGTGACCTCGTGACACAGCAAGTTCAAAACCTTGACCTAATAACCTACTAAATATAAAACAATCACGTTGCACAATGTTTGCTGTTTTCCTTTTTTAGCGCAATTTCCATAACTGGCAATTGCGTTTAATAATTCGTCATTTCTGGATGGATGGAAGGATGTGTGGATGTGTGGATGTGTGTCCGCAACTTTAAGTCGTATCTCCTCCTCAACGAAGCAATATCGAGGACTAGTTCCAAAAGCAAATATGTTAAGCAAGTTCCGAGGATAATTGTGGGCCGAAAAAATTCCCGGAATTCCTTCCTGGATTTCCCGGAAAAGCCAAAAAACCTCGAAAAAATGCAGTTTTTTGCCCATATCTCGGCAACCAGACCACTTAGCGACTTGAAACATTTACCAATCGATTCCTGCCATAATTTAAAACAATATTGCCGAAAAAAGTTTTCAAAAATATCCTTTCGTTCGGTCACAAAAAAATTTTTAAATTACATAAACACCTATAAACCGATCGTTCTCCTAGCTTGAATGCACCCCAGCATTATACGTCTTGTGTTTTGTCCCCGTGTGTGCTTTACGCTACGACAGAGCTATTTTTAGATAACATAAGGAAATTTCGCTTAAATTGTCACTAGACTTTTTATTAACTTGTTTCATTTAGTTTTTATGTTTAAAAAAAATGTTTTATTTACCTTGTCTGAGTATTATTATTTTTTTATTTTTTTATTTTCTCAGTCAGACGACAGTGACGCGTCGTTAGAGTCTGTGACGTCAGACAGTGGACGTGGTGCCAGTGACGATGACATCAGAACAAATATGACGTCAGGTTTGTTGTCCGCCATTACGTCCACTATTCTGTTGTTTGTTGGGTACTTTTCCGTTATAAGACACCAGGCGGATATTACTTATCGCCCAAGCAGATAGACTTCGATAGTTAACATCTTTTTAAATTAGCCGAAACCTACATTTGCATAAATATTGTGAGTCGCATCAACAATAATGGCGCATCACAATTTAATTATATTTTGAAGTTTATAAAATGTATAACAAAGCAAGTATATTATAGTGAGTACATTTTTACTTTCTCGTATACGGAGTATAGAGAAAGTATTGTACTCGCACACACAAAAATCTCAACGTCAGAATTAATTAGTTTTGCAAACTTGTCTGTCTGTGTGTATGTAAACACGATAACGTGAGTACCGTTTCAGTTAGATTGACGAAATTTAATAAGCATCGTATCACATGTGTAGTTTTTTATCAACTTTCTGGTGTAAACGGAAGTTAATACGTACTCTACTTCCGGTTTACCAAAACCCAATAACTAGAACATCGTTGAAGTTAGGTGTACGAAATTTCACAAAGTATTACATTGTTTACCCAGGTTTCTTTCCAATTTTTCCGGCGATTGGAATTTGTACTTTATTTTCGCGTGAACACGTTAACTTAATGTGGGCCTACTGTTTTAGTTAAGTAGAAGAAATTTCATAAATAATTATAAAAATCTTACACTTGGGTTATTTTCAATTTTTGAGTGATCTCCGATAGTCTGACATGGTACGTCATTTCTAGTTTCTAAAATAAAAATAATTTGTGTACCGTTTCATTTAGATTGATGAAATTGTATACATAGGAATAAGATCTAATTTTCTGGATTGTTTCAAATTTTGAGTGATTTCTGGTGAACGGAAATAGTACAGTAGGCTATTTTCTAATACTCTAAAAATATCACCTGTACCGGACAGATTTCTTTCTCATTTTTCAGTTAGGTCAAGACTCGATGACAATGCACTGTGACATATAATGGAACTTAATTCATCATTTTCCCCCCTTTTGTGCCCAAGACACATGGGGCCGCCACAGAAAGCTCCCTCTTCTTTTGTCGGTCTCTGGCAATTTTTCCTGGCAGTCCCCCATGACAGTCCTGCCTCTGTCAGCTGCTTCCCCGCCGTGCGCCTCCACGTCTCTCTTGGCCTTCCTTGCTTTCTTTTTTCTCGAAACGTCCAGTTTAGCGCCATTTCTGCGATATTTTAACAATTCATTCGTAGGACGGGCCCAATCTTCTTTTTTTTCGATTATTTCGGAAACTGCTTCCATTTCTATCTCTCCTAGTAGCCTACCATTGGAAATGGTGTTAGGCCGGTGGATGCCTTTTATTCAACACAAGCATTTAGTTTGGAAAGAGTCCAGTGATCTGTTTGTGGCGGTTGTTACTTTCCAGTATCAGCTGCCATACAATAGGACGCCAAAAACAATTACTTTGGAAAAGTCTGCATTTGGTCTTGGAGGATATTTTCTTCAATAGCCATGTTTTTGCATGGTTGCAAAGGCTTGTTGGCTACAGAGATGCGTGGTGACTTAATTAGATATTTAACAATTTTTTTAAATCAATCTTTCCTTTATAAAGTACTTATTTTCCGCTCTGTCATACGCATTGTTTTCATTCATTGGGTGCGTATTTTTTTTTGCTATTCTTTTATATTTAAAAATTAATACACGAGAAACTTTAAGGGGGATCACTCCTGCTTTATTTTGTATTCATTAACGCTGGTCGATTTTCTTTAATTACTTCCCTTTAATTACCATTGCATTTAACATCATTGTATCATTCAAACAATGGGTAGAGGGGGAATATAGTCAAAGAAAGACAACCAAGTTTTTAGAAAGTAAAATAATCTGTCCCGAGTTGTCGACATTTTAATTTAAAGTTTAAAGAATGTAAATAGTTATAATTTTTAGCAGGTATTGTATGATTAAAATGTATGCTTTAAAATTTGATTTTTTTTTTTTGCTGCGGTATCTATAGCAAAGACATCTTCGCATGTTTAACCTTGTACTTTTTTCTTTGGCTGAATTAATTTTTTGTATAAACGTATCCTTTGTTTTGACTGAATGATTCATAATGTAGTGTTTCTTTTTTCTTCTCTTCAGGTTCGCTGTTAGAGGTCGCTCGTCATTACAACAGTAATAAGGTCAAGGGTCACAGCACACACATGAGTGCGCCCGACATACACAGCGGTGCTCCAGTTCACACTTACAACGGCCGACTACACACGAACTCTCCTGGCATGAGCACGTTCAAATCCGGCCCGCCATATGGCACGCACCTGATGAATAATTCCTTTCCCCGGCACTCGCGGGGAAAAATTCACACGACACCGCCTCGGCGACCGCCTCACGTTTTGTCTACACTGATAGACGAGGAGACGGCAAGCAGCACATCCGGTAGCTACACACTGAACCACGATGACGTTCTGGATGAAATGATGCGACGAGACTTGGTCGTGTGACCTAGTTTTAAGTTAACCTCGATATACGAGACGCTGAATCGGAAGCTGTGTCGTTTTCTGCAGACGTGTTGTTTACCACGAGCCGCGGTTGAAAGTTGAAACAGATACGCCGTGTGAACTAATGATAGGCGGACAAGCACACAGTCACACACTGGCTATAAGCACCAAAACAAGTTGACTTATTTATTTCACTGAAGCAAGAAGATTGCTGCTATAAGAGTTTTGGGTCCTTGTGTATTACTCGGGACTTATGACTCATGGAGTTCACCAAAAAAAAATAAAACTGGTGACTTTTTGCTATATTTAATACAAAATTAAAGTGGGCAGTTTCATTTAGAGAAGTGTCAGTACATCGTGCGCTGCATTACAAGTCAAAACTATGCATTAAGGGACTAAGAATGCCCCGGAGGGAAAGGGGGGGGGGGGGTATTTTTCAATTTAGTAACATTAGGGAGGGTTAAATAATAAAATCGTGCGGTGTCATACTTTGGCATTTGAAACAGTAATTTTTTAACCCGGAAATAAGCATTTATTTCGCATATTTTGTAAACTGTTATAAAATTTGGTTTGTGTGTATCTTATCCTGACTAAACTCATTTCAAAACATTGTGGGGGGGGGATGTGTGACGTCGTTTAGATCGAGCAGCTGTCTTTTTTTTTTATTAATGATAGGCGACGATAGAAAAATTGGTTAAAAAAAAGGCCAAAATGCCTGAAGTCATTAAAGGACAACCCCTAAAAAAGGTACCAATTTATTTTTTTTGACTGATTAAAATCAAATAACAAGTGGCGTGGTTGATTCTTTCAATAACGCACCCTCCATTTCCCATAAATATAATGTTCGTATGTGTAATTACAAATTACAGAAGGTCTGATTGTGTTTGTCATGCTGTTGTTTGATTGTGTTTGTCGTGCAGTTGTTTGATTGTTTGTCTTGCAGTTGTTTCATTGTTTGTCGTGCTGTTGTTTGACTGTGTTTGTCGTGCAGTTGTTTGATTGTTTGTCTTGCAGTTGTTTCATTGTCTGTCGTGCTGTTGTTTGTTTGTGTTTGTCAAACAGTGTCTTCTAGAACGGTGTCAGACTCCACCTGCTGTGCAAATCGTGGTTTTCTTGAGGTTTTCTTCGTAAATGAAAAGAAAAGCCCTGTCTTTTGATATATGAACGGTACCACTGAGTCAAAATGTCCGGATGGATACAGATTTCCGGCAGGACAATTGTCCCCTCGAGGACATTGATGTCCAGGAGGATGAATGTCCTGATTCGTCTGAAGCCAAACTTATAAAACAAACAGCACTGATCATGTCATCTACGTGTATGCGGTGACATAAGAAACAGATCAGCTCTACTTCACCTGCCCGATTTTTTTATTTTTTTTGGTAATTGTACTTGGTATTTTCACATATTTTAAGTTGTTCATACTTCCCGCCATTTTACTTTCACCTTGTACCAAAAGTATTGTATCAGTGTTATGAAAAACTTAAATTCAAATGCTTTAAAATTAAGCAAAATATTTTAAACCATTGTGTACTACAGTGTAATTAAAAAAAACAATCAAATACAAGTGTAAGGTCTAACGCGTTGATTAAACATTTAAATTTTTATTTAAACTTCGCAATTGCGCGTGTACGAATTAATTTTATTTCGTTGGTCTACGTTTAATAAATACACCAGTTGCTAGTCTGTGTTTTACATTTACTGATACATTTATAATCATGTTTACGATCTCTGAACAAAAGCCTCGACACACGGACCAGACGTACAAAAACACCTTGTTGATCTACTCAGAGATCAAGCAAAAAGCTGAAAACAAAACGGGCAAATGGCTGAAAACATACAAAAATCGTGGGAGGGGGGGGGGGGGCGACGCTAAAACACAACAAAAAAACTACTAAAAGATGATAACTGGCAATAATTGCTATGTATAGCTGAGAGAGTGTACGCGCGCTCCTGTTTGTGTTGTGTATGTGTAAAAGTGTATGTTTAAACTGGCTGTATTGCAAAATATTACATTTGTAAAGACTAATCCATTTTGCCATGTTTTTTTTTTTGTTTTATTTTAAAGCAAGGCTTATTGTAGAATATAATAAAACACATGTTGCGTCCCCTATCCTTTCTGTTTGATACAATACCCCCATTATTACCATCTCACCAGAGAGTAAGACGATTAAGGGGGAATTATCACACAAACAAAGGGAAATAATCAAAATAAAATCGCTAAAAAAGATTATTATATTACTAAAACTAGATTACAGCACACAAATGTATGCGCTTGACTAAAACAAAATATTTTTTAAAAAATATATCAACATAAAACAAATTTAATTTGCTACTTTTTCATAAATATATTTTAAAACCATTAACCAAAATATGAGAAATTGTGTATAAACTAAAACCTTTCCATCTCTATTTAATTAGCCTCCAATGTTTCTGGTGGCCGGAAAGAACCGCAACGGAAAAAAGCGCAACGGAAAAAAGCGCAAATCAAAAAGCGCAACGGAAATAAGCGCACACGGAAAAAAGCGCAAAGAGAAAAAAGCGCACACAGAAAAAAGCGCAAAGAGAAAAAAGCGCAAACGGAAAAAAGCGCAAAGAGAAAAAAGCGCACACAGAAAAAAGCGCAAACAGAAAAAAGCGCAAACGGAAAAAAGCGCAAAGAGTATATATATACTAGCGTACCCGTCCCCCGCGCGTTGCCGCGGGGATAGAAGTAAGTTTGACGAAATGTATTAGAAGGATTTCAGCAACGCGTTACCAATCATCTATATACTACTAAAAGTCAACTTTGTTTACATGTTTGAATATTTATTTGTTTGCCTGATCGAAAATTGTGATATGTTCGACTCTATCTGGAAAGCTGTAAAATGGTATGCAGGTAGAGAATAATTTTTTAATGCAGACAGACTGTTGATCACAAATTTATTTAAAGACGTTAATTAATTTATTGATTTATTCCTACGCAGAATAACCCATTTTTTTTTAAAATGTTAAAACCTTGACTAAACTTTGTGGGAATAGTGACGTCACAGGTTTTTGTTTACTCTTTAGTACAATAAAATGGCGGCGTCTATTGAAGAAAATTGTGTTCCCATTCAAAAGTTTAACGCGTTCTAAATCTAATTTTCTGTCGGTCATAACTTTAACAATACGTCCGTTTGCTGTATTTATTACGTTCCAACACTTATATCAATTTTCAACTGTCTTTTTCATTTAGTTTTACGATAAATTTCTCTAGATCTAAAGATCAGCTATCGAAGGAAATTTATGAATCTAGCCTAGATCTAGATCTAGCCTAGATGTAGGTCACTAGATTCAATGTAAATTCTACATCTAGAATCTATTTCAGGCCTTAATTATTTTATATAAATCTTTGTTTGGCTTATTTAAGATAAAATTTAATTTGAAAGTTAGTACTACTAGACTTATTTTTAGATCTAGATCTAGAATCTATACGCGTAAATCAAGTTGCATAAGGAGACACATAGTATAGTATAAAAATTCACTTGTGACGTCACGAGTAAATAGCTAAAATGGTAGCGTAGTCAGCTCTCATGCAGGAGGCACGGGTTCTAGACCAATATGTCAGTGAAATTTTTTTTTTCAATTTTTTTTTTTAGATGTGAATGATAACGTTGCCTATCTGAACTTGGCAAGATACAGGGCAGGTGAAGTAGAGTTCATCTGTTTCTTTGTCCTAAGCATATGAAAGGATAGTGTGGTCAGATACATGCTCGGCTGGAATTGTTTTTTAAACGATAAAAACATGTTGTCTGAGACTTGGCAGGACACTGGGCAGGTGAAGTAGAGTTGAGTAGGTCACCTGTGACGTCAGTTTATGAAGGGATAGTCCGAAATCGGTGTTTTCGGTGTTTTTAAAAGATAAAAAACATATATTTGAATGTGGGGTCTGTTTTTTGTGACGATAAGTGACACTGCAGTAGCGTACCGAGGAGGGGGGGGGGGGACGGTAGGGGAGGGGAGGGGAGGCGGGGGGTGGGGAGGGGAGGCGGGGGGGGGGAAGGGGAGGTGGAGGGGGGAAGGGGGGGGGACATATGTTGGGGCGCCAAAATGGTTTGGAAAAATAAATTGATAGGTTGAGGGGGGTTCAAATCGAAAGTTTGAGTGGGGGGGGGGGGGTGCACATCAAAAGTTTGAGGGGGGGGGGGGTTCAAATCGAAAACTTTGTCCCCGGGCGCCGGGAAGGGTCGCTATGCCTCTGAGTGACAGACGTGATGTTTTTTGATGGATGACCCCCGAAACCCACAGTTATCCAACGGATGACGGGTATTCTAGTATGTTCTAAGACGCGTGACCGTCTTTTCTAAAAGTGAGTTATTTAAATGTAAACAATGCCTGCGCTTGGATCATAAATATCGGGACACGGGTTTACCTACACTACCACATGAAAACATTGAATGTACATTAATCACTCACTGAAATAATATGGTAGAACACACTTCGGTGACCGCCCATGTGTCAGAGACGTAGAGGGGCGCTCTCGGGGCCCCCACCCCCGATTACACTACCGCATTTCACTTTTATTATTTTTATATACCGCATATAGAGAAAAAACAAATCGCGCCCTGCCACCCCTGCAAATTTGAAAATGTTTTTAGCGCAGAAATCTCCCCAGTAATATTCTCTACATGTTCCCAAAGTTTCATGGCGATCGTGTGAACGGTGTCACCGCAATTCACTTTATTATTTTTTATATACGTAATATAGAGAAAAATCGCACCCTCCTGTGGCGCCGCCCTTGCGAAATTAAATATGATTTTTTTTACAGAGCCCTTCCCCAGAGTGTCCTAATCAACACCCCCAAAGTTTCATGCCTATAGGACGAATGGTGTCACTGCAATTCACTTTTATTATTTTTATATACCGTATATAGAGAAAAATCGCACTCTCCCGTAGCGCCGCCCTTGCGAAATTAAAAATTATTTTTTTACAGAACCCTTCCCTAGAGTGGTATAATGAACTCCCCAAAGTCTCATGGCTATTGGATGAACGATGCCAAACCAAAATCGACTTTTAGTTTTATATACCGTAAATAGAAAAAAACAAATCGCGCCCTATCGGGGCGCCACCCCTGCGAATTTGAAATATTTTTTTTCGCAGAAACCTCCCCAGGAATATTCTCAACAACTTCCCAAAGTTTCACGGCGATGTGATGAGAGGTGTAGTAATGCATAAAGGACAAACACACACACACATACATTGCTTTTTACTTTCTCGTATATACGTAGTATAGAGAAAGTATTGTAATCGTGCAAAAAAAAAAAATCGAGATTTTTACAAATCTCGACGTTTTACACCTCACTGATACGGAAAAACATAATTTTGCAATCTTGTCCGTATGTCTGTGTGTGTGTGTGTCTGTGTGTCTGTCCGTGTGTAAACACGA